TTTTCCAGTGATTTGACTCCAAATAAGCAGTGAAGCCTTATACGCCAAAAGCCCGACCGCAATAACTTGACCAATGTCCAGTAATGGCCAGTGATGACCAATGATTGACTAATGGTGAAAATTCCACCTGCTATCGGGGTATCGAAAACACGTGAGGGTACGAAATCTCATTGTACCCTTAGGGGCAGGTACCCAGTGCATCATCTTTGACTTTTCCAAAGATTTCATCATGACTCAGCATAACGCATTCGGCTGGAGTTGGGGTAGCTTGAGAACGCCGACTTTTTTTTCGTTGGTTGTCATTCTTCTTTAACTCTAGGGGCGAGATGATCCAACTGATTAGAGCGCGAATTTACTGACCGCAAGGCCCGTGGTTCGAACCCGACCTTTGCCTCTCGACTTCCCCTGTCTAGGCTTGGGCAACCTGGCTGTATCCCATCCCTCGTGCAACTTTCGGGTGGCGTGGCAGCTAGGCACCGAAAGGGTGCTACAGCTGAACGGTTTTTTCCTTAACCCTGGACGTTCCATGTTGGAGTCCGCGGCTCTTTCGGACAAATAAGTATGGAGGTTCGCTTAAGTGCATCGAAAAACAAACGAGCATGTCTTCTTACATGTTTCATGTTACCTGTTTCCAACTAAAGTGGTAAAGGTGCATAACGATCACACTGTGAGAGAAAGCCTGTTAGTTGGGGACAGTAATTGGATCCCCTGTCGCTTCCCTTTTGAGAGGACGGGTAGTGGTTCGTATTTGTGAATTAGAATTCAATTCAAAATCCCTTAGTTTAACCTGTTTTGTTTGATACGTGAATGTTTTTTTCTTGCGATGTGAAATCTCTTTCTTGGCTTTCTACTCCACCGACCAGCTAATGAACCATTCGGACCGTAAGTCGAGTACACCAAAGAAGTTTCCTTATAATGCTTCAACTCCCAGCTGGTTCCATGTTTAAAAGTACTTGGACTTTTGTTCTACGGTTCGTAACTATTGCAAAAAAAACTGAAAAAAATAGTTAAAGTTTGTTGTGCACCGCAGTTCTCCTAATGCTTTCTTGATGCTATCAGGCCGAGTCTGGATAGCCGCTTGATAGCCCGATGCGCTTAGCCCAACCATAGAGGCAATGAACCTGCGAATCAGCTGATCAATTGAACACTGACACTTGCAAGGCGTGGTGTGTGCAGCCGAAAACGGGCTACTTACTAAGCTCACATGAAAAGTTATGGACGGTCCAAAATGATACTAAAAATAAAACTCACCTGTCAACGACAATGGACGAACAACCAATTAAATCTGTCCCAACGGAAACGGTTATTCTTTTGGCAGTTACGTTCTGAACTGGTTCACCCAATACCTCCACTTTGAAGTTGGGTAGTATAAATCTTTTGTCTTGGGTTAACTTGAATATTTATCACTGGTATCCTTCTGTGTATCGTTCTTCATGATTGTTGATACACAGGAGTCTCTGGTAGCTGCTCCGCGACCTGAGTGTCTGTTGTCCTCCCTCTGTTCGTATCAAGATATTCTGTGAACGCATTCGTTCTCCGGGTGATTTGTGAATAAAGTTCTTTCAACTGATTTGTACGACGAACTCAAGTTTCGGAACCTACGTCAACATCATGGATGGCATTTCCAATTCGCCGAGTGATTTTGCCTTGAAGCCAGGATACGCGATTACCATGATAGGCCTTTACCAACACGCTGTTGAGGTTTCCGATACGGAACTTTGAATAACGCGTGGGTTCGACAATCCCAAATATCAAAAGGTTATCAACAGGGTTAGAAATTCTACGGTACTATTTACACAAGGGCAAGCAAATTCATACAACAAACCTCATTCCACATTCGTAGAATCAACAAGTGCACTAATCTGTCACCGACCGGTACAGTACGATGTCCGCAAACTGAACAACGGCGAGCTGAATGTTGGCTCCGTGGCGTGGGTTGCGGTCGTCCATTCTGACGGCAGCCTCGAGATTCTTTCTTACTGGCGCTGCGATCACGCGGAACCACGGGGAAAACAATTCAAGGCAGGCTCAGCAAACGAAACACGAACACGCATGGGTTAGTAGGTTAGCTGCGCACATTCACGCACAGACACACATGCAATACACAATTGTTAGACGGGACGGCCTTTGCAGCAAGGTGGGTGGCGGGTAAGACGAGCAAAACAAGTGAAGATCAAAGGTACATGGGCGGAGTAAGCAAACGAATAGGGGGAATAATCAAGAGGTCGATTGAGGTGGAATTGAATACGCCCTCTGTTCGATGTCAAAATGTTGCCACTTTACACCATGCTGGCGATTGTGATTGGACTCCATTTTCCGACTTGTTGATGCCACCTCCTCCTTTGGAGGCTTCACAAGATGCAAGGTGCTTCAAGGAGTCTTGTAGAGTCGTGTCTGTGCAGACGATTTACCCTCCGATGTGGACGGACTTGGAGTCAAGCGGTACATTAAGGAGTGTTGTAGGATGTTTGCTGTGGTTTCTACTCATTCCGCCTGAAGCAAAGGTCTTTTGAACCTACCCACGAGCCGTTCTGTCATACCGTTTGATTGTGGGTGATATGAGAACGTTCTAACGTACTCCATCCCATTGTCAAGGCAGAAGTCCGCGAATTGAGATAACGTGAACTGTGTTCCGTTGTCAGAAACGAGCTATTCAGGATAGCTGAAAAGACCGGAGGCTTCCTGTAACTTGTTAATGGTTTTTGTGGTCCTCGTTGTCCTCATGGGAAAAATCTCTGACCACATGCTGTAAGCGTCCACGATGGTAAGAGAGCTTTGACCGCTCATGGAACCGACATAGTTCACATGTATCCTCGACCACGCATTTTGTGTTACCGGTCAAGAATGGGGTTCACATTTTCTAGGGGACTTTGAAGCCAACGCATATTGATGGCAAGATTTGACGGGCGTTTCGACTTGCCTGTCAATATGAGGCCAACAAACACAGCTTCGGATCAACGATTTCATTCGGTTGATTCCTTCATTAAACTGTTGAAAAACAAACCGTTGTGGCTTCTCTAGTACAAACACGCGTTCTGCGAACAATAGACAGTCGTCAACAACGGAAATGGACGATCGTCTTTGATAGAAATGAAGGAAGTCTCTGTTTTATAATATTCCATGGCCATTTGGAGAGGTGGTACTTCTTTACTTGCCTCATCAGTGGATTCTGTTCGGTTTCCTAGCGTATCATTGCGAATGTGCTTGGAGTAGCTTTGATAGCTTCCACAAGTGCACATAATATTTCCGGTTCAGCTGAGATCTGAGCTATAGCTGAATCTTCCCAATCGGTCTTCTAAAAGTCTTGACAGTGCGTCTGCCTGACTGATCTTGTCAGCCAATTCAAACTTGATGTGCCCCAAGAAGGGCGATCCGGTCATGGATATATTTCGAAGATATTTCGCCAACACCACGCATTTTTTCCGGCGTGATCACGGCATACACTGAAATAACGAATTAATAATATTTTCCTATGTGCTGCTTACTGCTGATTTGTTCTGATTATTACACTGTATTCGTATAAGCCTATTGCCATATTTCAGAGAAAAATCCATATGAGCGATTTTTCTGTAGGTTTTCTAGTGCTATAACAGACCGAAGAAACACGGGAAACGTCAAATATACTCCATAATTACTCAGAAACGCGAAAGACAAACCGTCATATATATGCATATACATGCATATATATAGGGGAATACTGTACTTGTGATCCCGTAGACCTGTCATATATGGGAACATTTAGAAATTACTTATAGGAGGTGGGTTGCAGCCCTGACGGCCCTTATTTCAGACGGTGAGTACAGATCCATCAATAATGCAAGTTGTGAACACTTCCCGTAACGAGGGTAGGTGTTAGGTGGTTGACATGAACCAAGTCGTCATTTAGATGTGTCACTATGTACCTGTCAAACCTGCAGTTAGTTAAACTAATGAAATGTATGTTGTATTCACTAGAATGATACTTTATTGACCGGATAACAGGTGCTCACTAAGACACGTTAAGCTTTTCTGATGTTGTCTCTCCGAAATGTCATGCTATAATTCAAGGCCAAATCAAGGGTTCATATTTTCACACAATTCTGTGCATAAGCTCAGTGGCTATAATTTCCATACTATCATGAGACTGTTACTTAATTAGAATTCTAAATATTTTAATTGGGATCCCGTGAGTTTGAGGCGTGATGAATATGTTGCAGGCCAGGAAGTCGGCGTTCACCCAACTGACGAATGCTACATTGGTTAAGCCTCTTCCAAACACGGACAGCTGATTCTGGTTGTTGATTCCTTATTTCTATTCTCAAGATTTGGTCTTGGTGACATCTTCATCAACAAACTTCTTGCGTCTCTTCGACTGTCGATCTGCCAACCTCGACTTCGGAGACGGTTCTTTGCTCTCCTACTTCAGTATGGGCTGGACAGGTGGAAAATGAGCATAAAAGGGCTGTGGTACATTTTTTGAGCAATGAAAGTAGAGAAGGTGGACTGATTTCATTTCCGGATTCTGAGTTGAGATGAAGATGAACTAGAAACGAATTAGTTGTTCCATGCATTGGAACCGGTCAGTTCTTAGTCTCTTAAACAGAATACGCTAAGAAAAGACGGCCCCAGAGCTCAATATCACTGATGTTGAATTTGAGCTTTGTAGATTGCATGGAAATTTTGACTGAAGTTCACCGACATTCACTACCGCTCGCCTGCAGTTTTAGTTTCATCAGTTAAATGCATTTCTTGAATCTCAACCACTAATCCTCCGCACTTATAATCGTTCGCGGGTCTTCAGTGCACTTTGATCACTCTGAGACCATGTAACAATTAAAAGCAATTTTTCGAGGCGACTTTGTCAGCGAGGGCGAGTAACTCTAGTTTTTTTATTCCATGGTTAAAGGAATGTTGGGGCACATCACTGTAAGGCTCAGGTGGCGTTGGAGGCTCTTTTTCACGTGTTGCATTGAGATCGATTACATTTCTGTTTAAATGTAGTCACGTCGAGGGAGCCGCCAATGTGGCACCAACATTTGTGTCTTATTGGCATCACGACAGGATCCCTGTTGCTTATTGAGTCATGGTTGTTGAACCGGATACAGTTACCCAGTTTGCTGGAACCTGATATTCCAGACCTGAAATTAGAAATCACCAGACGCATTCGTGCTCGTGTTGAGAAAAGGGCGGTTGGACAGTTGATCGGTTCTTCAGTATGCATAGCATATTGGACTGGGGCATATTTAATCTCGTTGTTCCCTCTAAAACTAAAGCCCCGCCTTTATCGGATAGTCTCCGCAACCGGATTTCTTACTTGGCACTTGATAATTCAACCATATCTGTTCGCCTCGTTGTTCTACAGCATATATGTCATGCTCCTGGTACTGGACGATGCTGCACTCTTGAGAGACAATCTCCAGGACCATTGGACAAATGCCCTTAATCACTTAAGGCGGAGCAACACATCAAGTGAGTGAGAAACTGAGTAGATTGTGCAGATATCATATCACTTGCATAACTTTACCAAGCAGTGCAATATACTCCTCCCGTTTGAGGAGAGTCCAGCTCCGTCAACGCCCACAACTGGTGCCGCTCATACTCAACAAAATATTTCATGATCTGGACACCACGTACCTCAACTCATCCAATCTTTCAGATTTCGTAGGTTATGATTTCCTTGTATTTTTTGTCTTGATTTCACCCTATAGGTGGATTAGCCTCCATCGAAAGCCGAGAAGCGGGAGATCCTCTGTCCGGGAGCTTAAGTTTAAATCTAGCCAGAAAATTGTGAGATGCGTACTGCTGATGGTTCCTAACGTGGATCAAACAGTTGTATAGTGGTTCACGGTCTTTGAGTACTAACGACTTCACTTATAGGACAAAATATTACCGGAGAAATTCAAGGTATTCCGAGAAATGAACAGTATCTGATATCGACGCCCGGAGCGCTACACACGCTGTCGACTCTTTGTTTAGCTAAGCAGCATGCGACTGGTATGTGGATGGATAAAAACCGATTAGCGACTTTCACCACAGGTTAGAAGCTAGCAACCGACCACATTTTACCTTTGTGCAATCGTCGTTAATTTAAAGAGTGGAGTGGAAAAGTCGTATCAACGTACAAACTGAAAATAGACATGGAACTGTGTAAGGGCAGGCAACTGCTTGTGAACTCAGTGGTATGGTGGGATCACCAGGGCTCAGTCAACGCAGTGCCATCAAGTTCTTCAGGTCTGTAGGATCATTGCCTACGAAAAATCCTGACATCAGCGGCTGGCTAACCGAAGAAAGTTCCGTGCTTGAAGCGTAGGACTACTAACCACATTCAATTGCATGGTGTGATTGGTCGAAATGGATCGCATCTGGTCGGGTAGGGTGATTTTTTTTAACATTGCCATCGTAGAGCTTTGGATTATGCACCCATACATTAAAGTGATGAAAGTAAAGAAAATCTAAGAGAAAAGTAACAAAACTCCCTGTGAATATGTGCGCTGGATTTGACGTTGTTTTCACCTAAATATTCCCGCCCTGAGTACAAGTTTAAGGTATGCATCAAGAAGGATTTTGATTTTATTTTCGCTAGCCTGTCCACATCTCCGTTTATTCAGAGATGTCATGCAACATAATGTAGGAGGCGCTGCACTGAATTTCATGTCCATTGCATCCAATTCACCACGATCCTCATAGCCGGTGTGTTGTACAAAGACAAGATGTCAAGCTTAAACGATTATGATTGTTCTCTATCACTTGAACTTATCCACTTGCCATTCAATCGACCAATATTTCGGTTGACATTAATCCCAAGAAATTGCACCTGACTGTATCGCCAACAAAAAGAAGTAATCAGCTTTGGACATTAAAAACTTAGAGGGATTGCATGATGTACTGTAGTGGAGAGTCTCAAATCTGCCTGCCCAGGAGTTAGCTGGAAGGCTCGTGGTCAAACCGACCAAGTATGACACACAGGGGCAATTGTATCGTATAAAATGTGATGTTCACCTTTTGTTGAACACTGTAAGGACGAAATCTGAGGTTCAGCTATGTGTCACTGCAGCCGACACGTACTCTGGTTAGTTGAGTGAAGATCCGTGCTCAGCCAGTACGTTTTTAAATGTAATATAAAGATTACAAAAAAACTAGGAATGCAAAGAAGTAAAAGTGGTTGATGGTAGCTCAGACTGTGGAGCTGACGGGTCCACAACAAACAGCGGTAGGAATGACCAAACAGATTGAAATGCGCGTAGGCACTTGATGAATGACGACAGAACTTAGTTCTTTTCGGGAGAACGATGGACATTGACCTGAGACGTAATATAATTCCAGCAACATCACAAAATGCCCCATCAGCCACAAAATCAAGCTTCAAAGATAAAATTACTGTCGACTTATAGGCTTTGTACCGATCAGGATCATACATGTATCTCGACGCTTTGGGTACAAGTATGCGTGAGGTATTTGTGGCGGTGACCTTCCCAGTAATGTGTCCACATAGAATATTTGTCTCCATGGTGTGTGAACATCACAAAACCAAAGATGATTTTCTTTTCAGAAACCGTAACAGACATAGCCTGTGGCATCTCATCCACCCCGATTGCGTGGCTATGGGCACAGGTTTACACAGTTATGAGGTTAAGTGCACATGAAGTCTGGCTGCACATGAAGATCCTCAATAATTAGGGGGTGCCATCAAGGTTTCTGAAATGGAAAAATAGGGCCAGTTTTCCAGGATCGGACGGACTGGCAGAAACCCTCAAGCTACTCGATCTTCAAGTTTGCCTATGCAGTTCACAACAGCTGCAATAACTGAGAACGGCCCAAGAGGTCTGGCTCAGCCTTAGCCGATTCCATGAAAGCATGAAGTGTACGGAACAGTACTTCTCTCGAACTACTGAGTAGAAGACTCAGAGAAACGAATTATAAACTGTCCAGACACAATAACTAGTTTTGAAAGCGTTAGATCACGGCGGCCCTGTAGGCGAAGGTAGTTTCTACCGGGAAGATTCAGCTAGGCAGACAGGAAGCAAAATGCCGAGGTTGACGGAACCATACAACCTCAAATATCAGATCGTAGATAGTTTGAACAACGGAACATCCAAAATTTGTATTTGCGCTGTACAGAATGAGAATGGGTTTTTCTCCGGAATAAAGGTATCCTCAGAGCTAGATGGCGGTCAGAAATCCTCCCCACACCTGCCTCTTTCTTCATCTTTATAAATTTAAATTTGAATTTAAATTTAAAGTGCTGATTTTGAGAACGGACATTTTACCACTGTATGTCGACATCAAGTTTCCGCTTCATGTTTGACGAACATAAATCAGTGGCTAAAGTCACTGTTATACTATCGGTACTAATCATAAGGTTGAGAAAACCTATGGACAGTTCACTGACGGTTTCACGTTTCTTGGAGCTGATAGGGAGGTCCAGCTTCTGAATCTACATCAGCCTTATTTCGCATTAGTTATTTCGGACTACTGGTGAGCTGATAGGAACGCCTACTTTGCTTTATCTTTAACCTTGTTTCCTTTCGAGTTCTAAAAACATCAAACTTTGTATCGTTGTGACTGTTTTTATAATTCCAGTCGACAAAGTGTTGTTTTACACGACCTACCTGGAAAACCTGCAGCGGACGTTCCGTTGTTGTGGAGCACTGTCGCTCTCAGACTGGGACGGAGCTGACCCTTTGCGTGAAGGGCTGAATTCCACCTGGTTTTCACATAAACATGGCTTCTACCCTTGGCAGAGCACTGTGGTCTACATTCCACCCAGTTGCTGTGACCCACAGCGCACCTCAACATGCTCAAAAGTCGACTTGCTGGAACGTCACCGGGAGCTTGTGGACCAACCCCAACACTCTTATTCACAGTGGGTTCCCGTCCACTTTAACGGATGTGTGGAGGTAATGACGGAACTAATTGGCGCTGAACTAACCGGAACTCTGATTCAGGTATTTCTGATCAACATAGCGCTTCATGTACTCCAAACCATTGTTTGTTATTGTGGATGGTATGTCCGAAAACCGAGCGCTTCGTTGCATTCGTCGCGTGTATCATCAAATCGAAACCAGTCGGCTGCTGTGAACGAGGACAAGGATTTTCTTTCGGTTGTCAACAATGATGATGTGATTACTGATGAAGAGGAGGGCGACGACGACGAAGCGAAGGAGGTGGACGGACTGGAATCTGTTGCCCAGCTTGAAGAAGAAACACCGACCAAGCTGAATGAGGGTGAGATATTGGCACCGGTTTCAGAGGCAAAAAATGATCAGGATCTGTTGAATAAACATTTACCCTTTCTGGTGAGAAAGATCACACTCGGTCCCAAATCGATTCAACCTCTCCCACTTTTCCATGGGAGACTTGGCTATATATCCAACAAAAAGCTTATGCTAGCTTGCCAAGGTATGGCAATGTATGGACGTCTTTCTTTGATACAGCATGCTTTCAGAAAAACCAAGGTGAGGTGGATAGAGAATGGAATTAGAATCGGGTGGTGTTTGCGGGACCGCGATGATGTCTATGCAACGTTTCTACGACCCATCAGGTGGAGCACGTCTCACTGTCCGGGACAGGTTGAATGGAATGGGTTGCGACACTGGTTGCGTCGTCGGCTGCCACTTGTTGAAGCTATCCTCTACGCGGATGGGAATGTAAGACGTGAGATAGAGGGAAATGCTATTTATCGTTGCTTCACCATCTGTGTGGTTCGAATGATTTGTTGTGCAGCTTTGGGTTTCCTAGTATCGATGACGCTGGTAAAAGCATTTGTGCCGCCATCCGAAGACGAACCTCCGGGTGGACCAAAGAAAAACAAACGCGAGGAGCAAGACCAAAAGGATGCTTTTATTGTGACCAAAGAAGTTACATGGATGACAAGTCTGCTCATACAAACGACGATCGTGTTGGGAGCAGTTGTATCTCGGAGGGTTCGATGTCTACTGTTCATGCTTGTTCCCAGTCTGGGTCTCACAGTAGGCAAGTCTTACTTGGGAGCCGAAGTTTTGCACACAATACTGACTGGTCCGACATCGACGACCGAAAAAAATTTACGATCAGCCGCAGAGACATTGGAATGTCTGATCAGCCTGTCTGCGAATTTGACACGTGAAGCCAAAACTTTCTATGAGGATGCGAAAGAGAATATTGAAACGGAGAACACACAAAATTATTACGAAATGGTTCAAGAAAAATCCACGAAACTGACAGAAAGCATTGATACTTACAAGGAATCGGCTGACAAATTAATGAAGGAGGTTAGTTATGGTCTAAGACATTAGTTTTGATTTTTGCCTTTGTTGCAGGACACCAGCGACACTAGGGATATTCTGTTGAAATAAAATCACCGACCGGCGTGCATGTGAGTTTATACAGAGATCCGCGATCAGACCTGTTACGTGGGCAAACAGTCTGTAGGCTCTTGTCCATAGGTGTCACAGCACTTAAGAAAATCTCCTTTTCTCTTGCGTGTCTTAGACTCATGTTGTCTCGTCTACTTGCTGCACAACTAACTTCGATCACCGAAGTGGGTGACTTTGCACTTTATCGGGTTCTGAGCTGCATTATCGAGAGGAATGTGCACTTCTTTTGATGAAAAACAAACTTTTGAATGGTCTAGACATAACAAGCTGCGCATTATGGGTAACTTGTCACGTCTATAAAATGTACTGCCATACACTGAACATCATACCGACTGAACATGAGGCAGCCTTGTGCAACATTCATTCCAAGTATAACATAAGACTGGCGAAAACCCGAAGAAGGGTGAAGCGGGTCATGCACTATTGAACAGCATTCAGAAGCATTTTGAGTAGTGTGATCCGTCGTGAGATCACCGTGGTAGATGTCCTACAGTGCCGTTCACAACCACCTCGGTGGAATGAGTTTTTAGCGCAAATACCTGCCACTATCAGTAATTCCATTATCATCACTTCTGGAGAGCATGATCACATGCCATTTTAAGGCATGCAATATTGGCCGGAGAAGGTACTTAAGATACTTTAATCCAAAAGCCAACCGGCGAAAACTCCAACAGTGACCCTTAAGCGGGAAAAATCGCCCTACATTGTTGTGCGAGGCCGTATACTGAAAGCTACCGCAGTCAGGGACGTAGCCTATCCACCAGGCCCCTCTCAAAAGTATTTGACGACAGAATTTGGTATCTTAAGACTCGCGAAAAATGAGCTCTTGGACACAGTTAAACTGTAGTTTGACGTAGGCATTACACCCCCATACGATTCCTTTCTCAAGTTCGCCCCTACTGGTGATATGTTCTCTTGATGTGACAAGTGGCACAAACTGACAAACACAATTTTGAATTTTGAGATTCTTGCCTTGACTTTGTCTGTTTCATTACCGCCCGAGCTTATGAAAATTCTGAGTTGCGCACAGGTAGCCACAAACCTGTGTGTCTGTCTGAACTCTTGAAAACTTGTTCAGATTTTGTAGACCTGATGGTATGACGTTGCACTTTGCGAATGGGAATCACAAGCCGTGGAACTGGATGACCCCGATCTAATTATGCAGCAACAGAAATGAGGACAGTGTTATGCGCATGTCCCAGGTCTGAAAGTTTCTCACCCACGGATATTTGAACGTCAAGATTTCGGAGACCGTCCGCAGTCTGCCTGTTCATCTTCACAATAGCAAAAGTGGAATGGTCATCCGTGTTGGGCACTATTGTTTTAGGGGAACTTTTGGGGATTCTTCATACACCAGCACTTCATCACAAGTCTGCGGATACAAACAGCGTTTGAGACTTATGAGATTCTGTAGCCTGTGCTTTTACACAAGCATGCTTAGAACGAAGTGACCGAACTCACTATTGAAGCAACGCCAAGACTATATGCACGTGATTTTTCTGGTAATTATTAGAGTGTGAAGATGTAGTCAGCACGATCCATCCCAGACCGGAATCCTGCTTGCTTTTAACGGGTCATGTCTTTACATGCTCCTGTAAGCTGACATCAAATAAGCTATACAGAGGGGCCCGTTACAACGGGGACCAAGCTACTGCTTTTATGATTGCAGTACAAACACCTTCTTTGAAAATAAGCTCTGCTATCTAATCACTCTGATTGTTTGGAACGGCCTTTTTCACCAAGATAGAAATAAATAAATTAGGTAGGCACTTACTGAGACCTGCGCAGCCACACTTTGCTGGAGAGATTAGAGTTTGGTCAGGACAAGTGTCTTCTTGGCGCTTCACGGAGAAAGTTGTACCTCTATCGTACAAACAGGTTAGAACTACCCTTATTTCAAACTGCAATTCAGTTTACATCTGGTCCAGCACTGTCCTTCATGGCTTTCGGACGCTAGATGCAAGTGGCTCCACTGCTACGCCCACCCACTTTGAACCTGTCGGCTCATGTTTGTTCGCATGTCCCTAATTTCAGAGACTTGGAACTCCATAAACTATCAAAATGACCTGGATATTATGTGACCAGCGTTAACGATAACAACGCTAACAGAGTTATTATGTGGTGACAGGATGACCGGCTTTCAGTACTCTAAGAAAAGGTCGAATGCGACTGGCAACATAAGAGATTAGACGAGTATCAGTCTGTTGCTTCATGGTCTACTGGTATCTTAAAAACTTTGTACCCGAATTTCCTTTTGCCCGAAGAGGAATGAATTGTCTTTCGTGGCGTATAGATTTGTCGCCACGCTTGAGCAAAAATCACCGGCAAGGTCCAGTTATGGGCTTACCTACTCAGGTTCTGCCGGCGTTTTGGAAGCCGAACTGGTACACGGAGCACGTGGTCAAGCCAGCTCAACCTATGCAGTGTGATCAGTTCGTCTATCGAGGGTGAGTTGTTTCTTCCGAATACCATTCGAAATTCAGCATTGCTGATCCGGTGTTCCCACCAAACTCGGGCAATGCTCCGAAGACATTGATGATCAAACACTGAAAGTCTTTTGACGTCCTCGGCTCGCAGGTTTCTGATCCCTGCATTCTCAACAATCTCGTTTCGCACTCAAACATCAAGTCAATCATTCGTTGAGTTAAGCACTTATTTGTAAATAAGGATGATGATAGCGAGAGGCCAAAATGTCTATTCTCCCAACACCTTTGTACTCCCTAACTGGACTTGGAAACTAACCCTTTTTACATTTCATTTTATCCCAGTGAGCGATAACCAGCCGCGGTATCTTATTAGTCTTTTTGTGATGCGGATCAGCAATGATACTCATCAGATATTCTACAAATCTGCGCCTACAAACATGACGCAGATACACCCGTTGTTTAGCCTTCGGTTGATTCGCTGTATTTTTGGTTGCACTTTTAGATAGCCAAGTCCGAAGAGTTCGCCAGACGCGCCGAAGAGACATTGCGAGGTGGCAGTAAGGAAGAAGGGGAAAGTACTGGCTACGAAGGAGTGGACAAGGTGGACCAGGCACGAAGAAACCGCCTCCTAGAAATGACACAAAAAATGGTTGATAGAGACGGCAATGCAACTGTGCTAACTATGCAGCGATCAAAGGATAAAATGAAAAAGATGCTATCCAAACTATCATCAGGGCCAGAGATGTTCGAGAATTTGAGTCATCGCTTAGAGGCCGGGGCGGATATAGAAAGACTAATCAAACGTCGAATGACAGCTACCTGCATGGTGTTCCATAACACACGAGGTCGTATATGTAGCATGGCGGCGGTGCACACATGCGATCGTTTGCAGACTGTACTCAGTCTTATATTGCTCTACCCAGTTTTGATCAAATACCCATGCATTTGGCAAGTTTCCAAAGGTGTTGCATGTCCAACCAATGATGCCATCGACGCGGCGGTCGAGCAGTGCGGATCAAGCGGGTCCAACATTGGCATGGGCCCTGGGTTTGGTGCCATGTTCTACCAGTCTGCAGAATCCTTGAATCAACTAAGAGAGACGTTTCATATGCAAATTAGAGTAGGACTTGACAAATTGCCCAATATGCTTGATGTTCTTTCATCCAAACAATCAGCTGCCTTGGAAGTTGCACAAAAAACCAGACAGGCTGTGACAATCCTGTTGCAAATAGGGCTGCTTGCGTCCACACTGTTGAAGTTGTTGGCACTGGTGGTGTTCCGCAAGGCAAACATGTACATCACTAAATACTTGTCAGATCTAGACTTTGATAACATGTATATAGGAAAAAGTTTCGAAGCAATCGATGCGAAACGCATTAAAGAAAACCGGGAAGTACTGCTTCCGCTAAAGTCCCAAGAACGGAAAACTGTTTTCTGGCGCAGGAAAGCCTACACGAAAAGTGAATTATCCAAGGCATTTGTTGCCGGCCTGAAATCATTTGGTTTCGGAGCAGTTTTATGTGTTATGTTCCTGATCGATAAGTTTATTTTTGAAACTATCGGATTGTTGGATGAGGCCACCAGTGCTAGTGTTGAGGTTGGAAAAAAACAGAGTGCATCGGAAACACAACAGCAAAGTGAGCCAGAGCCACCTACGATTGAGGGAGACGGAATATTTCGAGAGCTGATTTTGAACACCATAATAATCCTGACAAAGATCAGTAAGATTGATTTAGGTTTTGACCTCAGTGCTTGCAGTCCTCGGGTACAGGTCACATCACAGTATTACACGTACCGGTTCGTTGTGCTTTGGGTCTGTATGCTGATAGTTGGTTTCTTTTCAGGATATCTGCTTCGTTTGCGCCACATTATTATGGATTTCTTCTATCCTTTCCGTCAGCGTCGAAGAGCCATTCACTTATACAATCGTCTTCTGGTCAACCGACGTCGTCATATGACGATGTGTCGCAATTTACTTGTTCATCATACGCGGCAAAATCGACTACAGAATGAGGCACGCGAGAAGTCAAGTGCAATGGTCTTATATGAAAAAAATCCAAGATTGGCCAAATTTTTGGGTCAGGACAAGGTGACCTGTATTCTTTGTTTGGACAAATTCAAAATCGGCCCAAGTGTAGTTATTTGTCCATATGACGACGCTGCTATGTGTTTAACTTGCAAGGGATCGGTGTTTCCAGACACGAATACGTGTGTTATCTGTCTTGATCGTGATATAATTAAACTCTTTGAAGAAAAGCGACGTGTGTTAAATGTAAAAAGAGAATGCATTGCCAATATCGACGAAAGCGACGTGGAAACTGAGGTGGAATCATTGGCAGGCTCAGAGGATGATCGAACCAATGAGAAACGGTCTACGGATTCACAACAAGAAGTGAAGTATGGAACAAAAAGCTTTGCTAAAAAAGATGTCTGAACAGTTTTGAATTACGCATTTCGTCACCTTTATACTATTGTTTCAATGTAGACTTCACTGATGTTCGCTAAATTGTTGCGTTATAAAGAATTATATAACTTTCGTCATGCAAATCAAGTTCGCGGTATGCCTCAGGTGTTTTTTCACTGGTAAGAAGATTAGGTGCCCAGGCTGCCCACGTTATACAGTCACTCACCATAACATCTTTACGGTCGGCCACCCAAACTATAATAACGTTACACTGACCGGACGGTCCGTGGTCTGAACCCAACCTCAGCATCTGGACTGCTGCTGCCTCAACTTAGGCAATCTGACAGTAGCTCAACCCTCGCGCTTCCTTTGGGTGGCATGGAGGCTATGCATCGGAGGTGTATTACATCTGAGTGCTCATTACTTGCACCGATGTCTTCACTAGTCCCCAAAGTTGCTTTCTTCCAATCTCACATTTGTTCGAGCGTTTCATAGAATTTTCCACCAACGTGTGAAAGAAACGCTTGACTTATGTGTCCTTTCTCAAATTTGATTTTTTCCTTACTTGTCTTTGCTTTAAATGTACAATTTCACGCCAAGCTAACCTGCATTAGAGGTAGTGGGTAAGTATAAAACACCATTGTGAGTCATCGAAATCATCATAGTGGTGCGAATGACACAAAGCCACAAACCAGAATGTACAGATAAGGAGAAATGTGAACCCATGTAATACTTAATGGGGTGGTGACAGGTTTCGATTCAACTTCCGGTTCTAGCCACAGTGAAGTCAGGATGGGTTCAAAACGGCACAAAGCTCCAGACTTCAAATGTGAACAAGGCAAAATTAGACAAATAATCTGTATACTGTTTGAACGAGCGTCAGGGTTATTGTTGACATCAGAGCTGCGAGCATACTCTGTAACCTTACCCTCCTATGCGGTTTCCAGATGTTGTATCTCTTCACCTTCCCTGATGCTACCGGGCTACAGTCAGAAGGTGGCCAAAAATTGTGTAATAATGCAAATACGGCGTTCTATAAATATCATTCACTTGTAAAGGAAACTACTCACAAGGTTGCTGAAAACCCTTCGACAGCCCATTCACTTGTGACCATATTTAGTGGTCGATCTGTTCTCAAGCACCGCCACACTTTTTCTCGGGCGGTTGTTTTCGTTGTCACGTCATTGATAGATGGCGTCTGTGCGCTAGATTGCGGAGTTGAAATGTTGTCTCGGCCATCAGGTGGGCGTGAATGCGTGTACTTTTTTGACCTTGCTCCGGTACATGATGAAATCGGACGTGATTCATACATGTGGGCATACTCGCACAGCATTGTTTCGCCACGTGATTGTTCCGCTGCGCAGTAGGCTGATGCGCAGCCGTATTACCTCCTTTTCAATTTGAAACCGTTTTCGGACTGCTTGAATCTGATCCTAGTTTTTCCTCTTTGGGTCAACTTGAAGCCAGCTTGGTTGTTTCCGTCTTCGATTTGGTCTTAGCCGTAAACTATGCGATGATTCGAGAGGTTGAACGTTTTCATCGTCTAAACCGAAAGTGTCCAACAAGATGTCCCACTGGAAATTCTCTGCTTCTTGCCGGTATTGGGCTTGCATGTGGTTTGGTCGTAAGTGGTCGTAGTCGTCCAATTTTATATTCCAACGTTGATCTCATAGATCACATTTCCTTTCTTACCCAGGACGGTGCCACTGGACCATTTTTCTGGACGTTGAAAGCTTCTTGCGTATACCTTGTCACCAATGTGGAATTTTTGCAGTCTGTCTGTCTAATTTGCTGAATTTCCGGTCTCCTTGTTCTTGGGTCTTAGATTATCCTAAGTCGTCCTGATTTTCCGTCCAAACATGCATTCTGCGGGCAATTTTCCACCGGGAAGGGTTGTGTTTGGGGAATCTCGATACATTGTCAAAAATGGTTCAGTCGTATTGCCCGACGTCTACCTTCCTTCCACTTTAAGTTTCAAGGTATCCACAAATCATTCAGCCTGCCCGTTGGATTGAGGATGATAAAGCGGTGAAAGCTTTTGCTCACTAACGTTTTCTTTGCTCTACTGTCCAAAAAAATAATTCCACACAGCCCTAAGTAAGAGGAATCTTGGAAGAGACAAAGTTGTTGTTGTTAGTCCCATCTTACCTTGCTGAACNCCTTGCTGAACCGAAATGATGAGATGCTATTTGTGTGAAGCTATTCAAATCGCTTCTGTGAATGAGAGCTAAAACATTTTTGGCTGAACGAAGAGCACCAGATACTCGTTTCTGATGCCCAGTTGGGGCATACACGCGAACGTGCTGAACCCTTCCATCTAGGGTAGGAGTCTGCGTTTTGGCCCCGGAGGTTACTTCATCTGACCTATTGCTCCATGCTGCTAGAGCTAATTCCACCCATTTTGACCCCCGCGAAACACAGGAATGCTGTAGTCGGTGATGTTCTCAGTTCAGTTTGTTTAGATAGATGTCGTTTTTCCGCTGAGCAGTTAGCTGCAATCAAATAATCCACTCCCAGGAACAGTAATTTTCACGTAAAGATTACTTAATAATACAAGACATTCCTGAAGGGATTTTAAAATTTCATCTACTTCATATCTTGTCAACTGTATATTCTAATGGTTCTCATGAAATGGATTGGAGGACTCAATGCTTCCATCAAAAGACAATCTGTTGTAAGTATGGAATGAAACTCGACATCACATCCTAATCATCCATAAACTTGGATGTTGGCCAAACAGAATGGTAGGCGGATGACTCGGCTAATGATTACAGATGCACACAATCGCTTTGGAAATTACGAAAGACTAGTCAGTGAACATAGGGCAGCCATCTTGATATTGGGATGCGAACTTCTGCAAAAACTCAGCGTTGCGATGGAACGCCAGAAACAGGAAAAGCTGTCTCGAAAACAAACTCTCCAGACTAATTGGTAACCGAGAAAAGGAGAACAACCACGACGCTTGGATCAAGAACCTCTCCAACAGACAGCTCACAGAAGCAGAACAGAATGTTTTACTCAGGAGACCCAATATCAACTCCAAAGATGCTCCACAATCCTAGAATACCTAGCTGGTCTGGAGGTACCTATGAAGTACACTTTTGACTTGACGAGGACGCTCAGTAGCATCTCCAGTGCCCCATCAAACAAAGAGTAGGAAGCAATGAACAAGTTGAAGAAAGACGAGGCAACCGTCATTCTACCGGCTGACAAGGGACGCCTGACAGTCATCATGGGCAAGCCGGACTACATCGATAAAGCAAAAGCTCTACTGAACGACACGACTACGTATCGCTGCATTGAGGGTGAACGAAGCAAAAAAAAACTTGCGAACAAAATCAGTAAAAAGCTGAAGAAACACCAAGAGCGCATCTCACGAAACTCCGAAGAGTCTCGAACCCGCGACCTCCCGGCTGGTAGTTTGTACGCTTAACCGTTCGTCCACGAGTGGCTGAGCAGTGTGATTAACTCGCACTTAGACGTGTGGACAAAATGGCAATTTCATTCGAACAAATGCAGCAACTCCTCCAAATCCAACAGAAACAATTTGAAGAATCCCAGAAACAGCTGATTGAAATGCTTTCAAAAAAATTGAACCTCAAGTCCGAAACCGCTGTGGACAAGAATCAGCCATCAGTTGATGCCATTGCTGCTTCCATATCCGAATTCGTTTTCGATGGTTTATCAGGAGTGACATTTGAATCGTGGTTCCAGAAGTATGAAGACATCTTCCGAGTAGAGTTGGCAAATCAAGATGATTCTTGGAAAGTTCGTCTCCTGCTGAGAAAACTCGGTGCAGTGGAACACGAACGATACTCGAATTTTGTGCTGCCGAAAAACCCACGTGAATTTTCGTTCGATGAAACTGTCCGGACCCTGACCCAAATTTTCGGAGAACAGGCATCTCTATTCAGCATCCGATATAATTGTCTGAAGCTCACAAAGTGTGACTCCCATGATTTCGTCACACATGCCGGGATAGTAAACAAGGAGTGTGAGCGTTTCAAGTTGCTACCATGACACCAGACCAAATGAAAAGTCTCGTGTTAGTCTGCAGCCTACAATCGCATTCAGACGCAGACATCCGAACACGTATACTGCACAAACTGGAACAGGAGCCAGACCCGATGTTACAAGCCATCACAGCCGAGTGCCAAAGGCTGATAAATTTGAAACACGATACTAGAATGATCGAGAGACCCGGTCATCAGGAAGAGCCGTAGGTTTGCAGAACGATGGTCAAGCATACTAATTCTCACGATGTTGCTCGAAATCAGAAAACTCCAAGCGCTTGTTGGCAGTGTGGTGAATGGCATTTTTCCCGTTTCTGTCCATTCAAGAGTCATCAGTGCCAGAATTGCAAGAAAATCGGTCACAAAGAATCACACTGTCAACCCGATCACAAACCCATACGAGTGAATTCAACCTCCTCGTACAAACAGCACAGGCCCAAACGATTTCGAAGACCTTGGTCTACCAAAAAGCTATTCTGGCAGCCTTTCGAACTGATTTCAATTCGTGCAGAAAATACGTAGCGGTTACCGTGAACGACGTTTCATTGAAACTACAACTCGATACGGCATCTGATATCACACTGGTATCTCGAAATACTTGGAACAAGCTCGGGTGTCCGACACTCAAACCAACCGAATTGGTGGCGCAGAACGCATCCGGTGACCAAATGGATCTTGACGGTGAAATGGAATGTGAAGTGGAATTCCGGGGTATACGTTTCTCAGGAACCTTGTTCGTATCGTCCAATGCCGAAATTAACCTCATGGGTATGGATTGGATTGAAAATTTGGGGTTATTGGACATGCCATTGAACAAGGTGTGTACCCAATCCGAGGCTGATGTACGCCGGACTGCTGTGCCGACCTACGTTCGAGTAACTTCAACGGAGCAACTTTGTTCAAGATACGCAGACATTTTCGATTCCAAACTTGGCCATTGCACAAAAATGCAAGCAAAATTGACGCTGTTACCAGATGCCAAACCAATATTCAGACCTCGACGACCGGTCCCGTACGCATCCCAGACTTTGGTTGATGAGGAACTTGACCGACTACAACAAGCGAACGTGATTGAACGGATCAATTTCTCTCCATGGGCAGCTCCAATCGTGGTGATCAAAAAGCCGAATGGTACTATCCGATTGTGTGCAGATTTTTCGACAGGATTGAACGCAGCGCTCGAACCCCACGAATATCCACTGCCACTTCCAGAGGACGTTTTCGCAAAACTGAACGGTGGAAAATACTTTGCAACCTTGGACTTGGCGGAAGCATACTTACAACTCGAAGTTGATCCAGAATGTCGGAAACTTCTCACGATAAATACCCACCGTGGATTGTACCAGTATAATCGCCTGCCGTTCGGGGTGAAAACTGCGCCCGCAATTTTTCAACAACTCATGGATACGATGCTATCAGGAATCCCCGGTGCTGCCGCCTATTTGGACGATATTATTGTGATGGGCAGTACAGAAACCGAGTTGCTCCAACGATTGGACGAAGTTATGAGCAGAATAAGGGATTATGGATTACGACTCCGAGCGGAAAAATGCAAACTATTCATGAAATCGATCAAATTTCTGGGTTTCATAATCGATCAACATGGACGTAGACCGGACCCGGAGAACATCGAAGTAATTGATCGACTACCGGCACCAACGGACATCACCACACTGAGATCGTTCCTTGGGATGATCAGCCACTACAGTGAATTTCTGCCGGAAATGCATCGACTACGGTACCCGTTAAATCAACTTTTGGCGAAAAATGCAGAGTGGATTTGGACCAGAGAGTGTCAGCAGGCCTTCGACAAACTGAAATCACTACTGAAGTCTGATTTACTTCTAACATACTACAACCCGAACTTGGAGATAATCCTAGCGACCGACGCCTCCAGCTACGGGATTGGAGCAGTGATTTCGCATCGATTTCCGGATGGGTCAGAAAAGGCCGTGGCACACACTGCGCGAGCTCTGACGACGACCGAAAGAAATTACAGTCAAATTGAAAAAGAAGCATTGGCCATAGTATTTGCGGTGCAAAAATTCCACAAAATGCTGTATGGTCGCCGATTTACACTCCTGACGGATCACAAACCGCTTTTGACAATCTTCGGATCAAAGAAGGGAATTCCGATATATACAGCCAGTCGATTACAACGATGGGCCACGTTGCTGCTGGGGTACGATTTCCAAATGAAATACCTATCTACGGATTCCATTGGACAAGCCGATGCCCTATCCAGACTAATCGACACTGAAAAACGAGGATCTGAAGATACCATCATCGCTGCAGTGAAAACAGAACCAGACGTCAGTTACCTATTGCATGACGCAGTACGTTCCTTACCAGTCACAGCCAGGATGATTCAAAAGGAGACAGCACGCGACTATATCCTACAGGAAGTGATTAGCTACGTTCGTAACGGTTGGCCAAAGAGATGTCCGAGGAAAGAACTATCACATTTTTTCACCAGACGTGAATCATTATCAGAAATTGAAGCGTGCTTGCTCTTCGGTGAACGGATCGTTATTCCAGAAGTACTGCGCAAAAGTGTCCTGAAACAACTACACAAAGGACACCCCGGAATCAACCGAATGAAGGCGCTTGCTCGAAGTTTTGTGTTCTGGCCAATGATGGACAGCCAGTTGGAAGAACTTGGCCGTTCCTGTTCGCATTGTGCATACGCATCAAAACGACCAATCAAGACAGAGCTCCAGACATGGCCAACACCCGATTTGCCTTGGTCGAGGGTTCACATTGACTTTGCCGGACCAATCTATGGAGCATCAATCATGATAGTGGTGGATGCCTATAGCAAATGGCCCGAAGCCATTGTAATGCAGAGCACGACAGCATCGTCCACGATTCGGCAACTCAGGCACATGTTCAGTCAGCATGGCTACCCGGAAACCATTGTATCCGACAATGGACCACAGTTCACGTCAGCACTGTTCGCAGAATTTTGTGGAAGGAATGGGATCAAACACACAAGAACTGCCCCATACCACCCTCAGTCAAATGGACAGGCAGAACGATTCGTGGATACAATGAAACGGGCACTTCAAAAATCGATGGGAGAGGGGACTATCGAAGAGCGATTGAAAAACTTTTTATTGAATTACCGTATCACTCCGAACCGAAATTCTCCTGACGGCAAATCACCTTCTGAAATCCTAATGGGAAGGCGCTTGAGAACAACATTGGATTTGATGATCCCTAAGCGACCAAAATTAGAAGTCAGAAATCACAAGATGGAACACCAATTCAATCAACATCATGGTGCAAGCAAAAGGAAGTTCCGCGTTGGTGACTCAGTATTTGCATTGGCTTTTGGAAACAATCGGACAACCTGGCAGCCTGGATGTATCCTGCGGCGCCGTGGAAATGTCTTATACGATGTCCAAGTCGGAAAGAAAAGGTGGATCCGCCATGCGAATCAGTTGAAGATGCGCTATTCAACAATGAACTCAGCGCCGAATACAGGGGAACTGAGCCTTAACCAGTTGTTGGATATAGGTGAAACCAGAGCAGCAAATACAATGAATCAAAAGCACGAAAAGAGATCGAGACCGAAACGAAAGCGAAGGTTCGTGCAACCCTTCCAGGTTGACCCAAGAGGACAAAGTTATGCATATCCCAGGTAACCAAATTTTTAAAAGGGGGAAATGTTACCAGAACGGAACTGTTAATTGTCTAAAAATTTCGTCTTAACTACGGACTGATCGTTTCTGGTCAATTCTCACACTGCTTAGATTTGTCGTCACCACACGTTCAGCCACCAGATTGCATCGTGCTGAGTCCCTATTGATTTATCCTCTTCCGCTCTCACCGTGTGACTCCTATTGGTCGTTGCATTTCGTTATTTTTCTGCTCGATCGTGCATAACTGTTGGTTCCTATTGGTTATTCGGTTGAAGAGAAAGTCTCGGCCAATTCATGCCATTTTTCCGATGTATATAAACCGCCTTACTTCGCGGCAAAAAAAGACCTGTTCCTGTGCTCGACTTTGGCTTCTTCTTTACGCGAGTTGACGGGTTACGTCCGGACGACACAACACACGGAGTCAAAAGTCAGAGATGAGAAACGCTTGTACAGAGCTTTTCAGAGAAACGGATTGTACCAATCCGTTTTTCTAATGTTGGATTTAATACCACCACAAAGAACCTAGTTGGGATTCGGTGCTGATAATTTCAGATGAGCGCTCAGTAACCATGATGCAGGTTTTGAAATAATCCTGACGATTGCAGTAAGAGTGCGTGGTTTCTGAGATGTCAACGACAGACACAGATACTTAGAAACTATCCTTCAAATGTCGGCGCTCAGTTCACCCAACAACCTTTAGCGTTTGCAATCTGAAGCTGGATCAGAGACTGCTCCTGCATGTACGCTGGACATGTCTGTCCCTCTAATGCGCCGTCCGCTGTGGGTTTTAGCATTTATCAGAAGGGATAGTGTAACTGACCTAATGCTTGTGGGTAGAAATAATGATGCTTTGAGTGCAGCTCAGTCAGGATGATGGGCGATCGTTCAAGGCAGACGGAATATATTTCACACAATGGAGGTTGGTGATGGCGAAAACACTAATGGTGAAATTGAGATAACCCAAGCTATGGTTCTAGGGAAAAGATCTGCGAAGGAATGTGTTGATCAAACCCATCTTTCATAGGTGTTTTCCAAACATTGCAAATTTACTCCATTGACAAGGGGATTCAAATAATCAATTTTAGGGGAACCAATCACCTTACTTGAATAACGAAAATGTGACATTTTGCAACGCTGTCTGCGTGACAGACGGCAGATTTTTGCACAGTTCAGTCATGTTTGTTAGTTCATTTGGACGTAACGACTTTAGACTACCTCAGTTGGGTTTGAAAATGGGGTATGTTCGGCACGGCCGAACGTAATCGCCTGCTCAAAATGCACTGGTGATAACACGCTCGCCGCACATGTCAGACGTGCAGAGTTCAAGCCCCAGGGCGGCCAAGGTTATGCACTGTTGATGAGCTCTAATAGGAGCGAAAATCTAGTCCAGTGCTTCCCTCCTTTGGTGTGGGCCCACCAGAATGATTGCGCTGGGACGTGAGGACGACTATTCAAGTGAGTGACGTAAGCATGCATTCTACAAATTCCGCAACCACCCACGACTAGAAAAAAAAGGGTCACTACAATACTTAGACCTTAATAGGCTCTGCAGTGAAATAGAAATCCACGATGATTTAATCTTAGCAAAGTCGGATGGAACTGATATCACACATGACATTTTGATAATTTTGAGAGTGAGGTTGCTCTACTGGAAGCTGAAACCATTTATTCCCCGAGGTGTCCAGTTTCCAAGACGAAACGAGTTCACTCAGGAAGCACTGTGCTCCATTTATTTTACATTCGATTCTACTCAACAGCTTTTGATTAGTGAGTGACCCAGCTGGCCACTACAAATCAGCATATACCCAGGCATATCAGCCGCCAGCAAGGTATCGTAATCGCTGACCATGTGTTGGTTGGATTGGCGTAGACCGTGAAAGGCTTGCAGACCTAGTGATCAAACTGACTTATCGATGACCTCGTGCTGGGATAAGCCTGATTTAGCTGATGAACAACAGATATGGAAGGAGTGACGACCCAACCAGCGGTGCGTCAGATAACATGTGACGGGGATAAGAATAATACTGTCGGCAGTGGTGATGATGCTGAGGATAATGATGGCAGCTGATTGCCCACGTGAGAGCTACTGGCACGTTGCCACGTTGAGAACCAGTAAATTTCATGGGATCGGTTTTATTACGTGAATGAAAAGCGATTTATTTTAGTTCAGAGCTTAGATCAAAGATAGCTCAGTTCATAGAGAAATGAACTAAAATCATACGTGTTTGGAACTCCACGCCCGTACGCAGGAACAAACACGTAACGTATGAATGCATTTTGCAAGGTGATATGACGAGCTTTTAATCCAATAGCTGTCGTGGAGACAGTAACTCAGCTTTCATATTGGCCCTGTTTTCTAAACGTTGAATTCGTCGTCGTTCCTTGAACAGGCGTTTTGGGTTACGATCCAGACAGACAACACAGATTTCCTTGCGTAGCACAACTTCAACACATTGCCGACACAGAGCTGCTTTATCCAGTGTGCACACTGCGATTTGTGGCCCGGAATTGATCCAATCCTGGCAGATAAGACACATTTTCTTATCCATACCCACCAATTGAGCAAAGCTCTGATGTATGGAAGCCAAAAACGTGGGCTGTCCAAATTTCCTAGCTTCTTCCTGTAGGCGACCTTCTCGAACCCAGTGCACGATTAGGTTGCGACAAGTGGTCATGTGACGACGTCGGCGAGTAAGCAGTGAGTTGTAGAGTGCTACCGTGCGGTTTTTCACCCTTGATGGATAGAAAAACGAAGCAACGACGTGTCTGGTTCTTAGTAGTAAGGGAGCGATCACGATTAAAAACATCAGTAAGTACCAGGCATTGTAGAAATCTCTCTCCAACCTAACACTTGGAGAATAAACATAAGGACTGCAAAATTTGGGATCATAGTTCAACTCGATGGCTTTCAACTGGTTGATGTTATAGAGGATTTTTTTCAATAGCTGATAAAATATTCCATCTCCCGAGACATCTGCATGGTTTCCGGTAAACTGTGCTTGACGTATCTGCATTCGCATGCCATAGTAGCCAGCGGTCAAGTCAATCAAAAATGTGGCCATTTCTTCCATGTTCCAACCGACGGCGAATAGTACCAACAGGAAGCACCCGTAAACCACGGCACGCAACAAATTAACTGCCACTCGCTTTAATTCCCGGCATGTGTAGAATCTTGAACGCCAGTAGACTTTTGACGTTTCCATAGACTTAAGGGGTAACAGGGTCTCCCGGCCGTCTGCCAAACGCTTCGCGTCCACCTCCTCAAACATGCTTCCGGCATAAATATTGTCAAAATCGACGGAAGTCAGATAGTTAGAAATGTAGCGATGACTTTGGTAGAACACGCCAATCAAGAGAAGTCTACCCAAGCTGCTGCATATCACTAAGATGTAGAACAGTCCATACATATAATCAGATATATAATATGGTCTTTCATAGCTATCGTCTGCCAGTTCAGTCCATTGTTTATTCGAAACTGGGACCAAGCTTTCTTCCATGCTGATTGGTTGGTCGAGTTTAAACTCATCCGCGATAGCTTTCAGTGCATTAAGTGCTTCCAGCGTGAACGCTCCCACACCGTATTGCACTCCCAGAGTTCCAGGTGCATCGTAGCATTCTTGTTCAGCCTCAGTCACGAATTCGTCCACTGGACATGCTACCTCGGATGGATTGTCCGGTGGACAAGCCAACTTGAACCAGGCAGGCTCGTGAGTCAGACTCTTTATCGTTCTTTCCACTGCCTGACAAACGATATCTGATTTCTTTTTACACTGGGTGTACTTCACCGATTTGACCAGCATGCAACCAAGCACTGTTGCCTTGTAAAGTCCTTCTTCCATTTCACGGCCACCCGATATTGCCGTTTGTAGTCCTTCGAGCAGTTCACGAGCCAAACCGGCCTTGTTACTCATGTCTACCAGCTGATTGCTTTTATCCGTCAGAGGAATGATTAACCGATTGGTCATTGTATTCGCTACTTTCAAATAAGCGGCGGTTGTGTTGTCAAATCGTTTCTCAACTCTTTTCGCCAGATTTGACTGGTTTCTACCCTATGAAGGAAAGCAGAGAAGCGTAATTAGGCGAAATGTTCCAAATAGCCCTAAACATATATGTTACTATGATATATGTGTCCACAGGTTTGCCACTCCGGTTATCCTGTGTGTATCTGGTCTTCTCAATTCACATTTATATGCGGTCATCTTGATTTGATCACTATCACCCCATCACCCCCTCGTGTTGCAACGTTCTGCCGCCCCCGCTGTTTTACAAAAAAGTAACTTATGGGCACTTTTTCGTTTTGTTGACCTTGCAAACTTGTCATCTCTGTCTGGACAATTCCGTCTTGCATAATGTGAATATACTAGCTAATCAACACGAAGATCGACAAGTGGAGTAGACCACCATCGCGAATCAGAGTGCGAATCCACAAATCGCTGCCCTCATTGAGTTACCTACAAATGCGGTGATATGACCACGGATATGAACAACAAGGGGCCTAAAACACAAGCTCCACACGCTCGCATTTACCCTTAGCACAACAGTGATAGAATCCAGGGTTCCAACAAGAATCAAACGAATCAAACGAACGTTTGAGGCTCATTTGGAAATGTGTTGACTGACATTTGTCGCCCAACTAAAGTCGCTTAGAATTGTGGATGAATTCTGTACATTTAGACAGATATTCGGTGGGAAACCGGTTGTCCCAAAGTCGCACCTCTTGGTTCTATTTACGAGCCCCCACGAGTAAGCTGGTAACCGGAAACTTTGGCCACTTTGTCTGGACTTGAGCCAGTAATTGTTAAGATGCTGCGATCGTTGAACAGCTTTCACAAAAAATCGGTAGTGAGACTTTATTGTAAACATAAAGAACTTGGATTGTCGACCTAGTTTCTATCCTGTTTTTTGACAATATAATAAACGAGTGCATGTTAGTAGTTTGCAGATTAAGTGAATGAGACGTGTCCCAGATCCGTATTGCCACAGAATCTAGAGAATAAATATCCACATTCTACTGATGGAGCGGTATGTACCATATTCTTTTAACCACTGTGCTGCTTCTGTTCATATCCAGAAACAAAATGGCTCGCACCGAAAACCTAGCGTAAGGAACAATGGTATTTTATTCTCACAGCATGGCTGGGTCCACTACATTGTGTCAGGTCCTCTAAAGCAAGTCCCAGTTCGGTTAATTCTCTGGGATTAATTCTGTGAAGGGCGCTTTCTAGGCACGTGCACACCGGGCACTTTCGCGATTGTTGTTGCTATGCCTACAAGCGATAGCAACAGAATTAAAGACAGATGCAGTGGTGTCAGGACTAACTCGAAATACGCTGGGACTGATATAATTTAGCATTCCAAATCACATGCGAAGGCTTTTAGGTGAAGTAAGCTGATCCTGAATGGTCATGCTGTTAGTTCTAACCTTTGTGTTTCCACTTGGGGAGATGGTATGCCCCAAATCTCTGGGCTTGGATTGCAGATGCGGTGATGCAAGCAACATATTATTCATCACTAGTCACATTCTAATTTCAACGGAAGACAATAGCTCTGTGATACACTTTTTTCTCCGTTTGCCTGATCATCATCATCATCATTATCATCGACAGCATGACATCATTGTTCAACACCGATGTCACGATGTCATGCCTGATCATTTTTAAAGTGTCAAGAAATTACAGAATCTGTAGACGGTTGTCTTTCAGATACTCCACATGAGTCACAAAGTACGGGTACAGAGGAGTTTCCTCAAGGAATGGATCACCATTCAGCATAAGATCCTTCTCAAGACAAAGCTGAAAACCCCATTCTCCTAGGGGTTGTTAGTGTGTGGAATATTCCTGCTTATGCATTGTGACATGGACACCAGCGAGGCATAAACACTCATTTGTTTTTATGGGGAATTCCGACATTGTATGGGCTGTTGGTGATAAGTAAACACAACCATCACAAGTTATTTAGGACGACGTAACTTACCAAAGTTCGGAGAGCTTCCGTACCGTTATACAAATGCATCAATGATGTTACTATATTATCGGATAGTTCCGAACTCAGCTCAATGAATCCCAAGCTGACATTTCTAAAGTCTGCTTCACTCAGGCCCAGGACGTCTGCACTTTTTTCCTTGATGGCATCTTCAAGTGGATAAACCCAGTTGATGCGACGCATGTCTCTGCTTAGGTTGAACGACATTTCTTCCAGGCATTCCAATGTGGCAGAAGTTGAGACGAAATTCCGTTCACTGGTCGCCACCGGCCCAAGCATTGCGGCGTGGAACATTTGGTTGATTAGGTACATGTGGCCGCACTGCATACCAAATATGGGAATCGACAGAAACAATAGACAGCGAAATCGTGGAGATATTAGTGCACCACACATGATGCACGAGTAGAGTAGCAAAGAGACCTGAAGTGAGATTTGTTCGTGAATGGCTACTGCATTTTCGGATATCGCCATATCAAGTTTTTCCCGGTCTGATGGTTTCCATGGCCATAAGTAAACAGTGTTCAATATCGGTGAGTCCAAATTCGTTGGTAGGAATATTGGACATAGAATGGTAGCGGCTACATAACCCAGCAGGAGAAATAGGATTCCACGGATGAAGGATATACAAAAGCCTCGATAGTACGCATTTGCTTCGTATTCAAGTACTGCGTTACCGTCTGTGTAGATTATTGCCTCAACTATTGGAATATGCAACCTCAGGAAACGTCGAAATTCGCTTGTCTGTACTGGTCCCAATTGTCGACTAGGTCTCATAGCAACCCTGGGTACAATTGTGCAATACTGTTTACCTCCACCATGCGCTATCCATCCAATTTTCATGATGTTTTCCATCCATTCGGCTTTGTCTGCCACATCAGGCTGCTGTTCTAAACTGGGTTTTGCAAACAGATGAAGTCCTTGACAAGACTGGATTAAACGATCTGTGCTTATGTAGCCGGTGGAACCGAAAAACAACTGTGGGTTGTCACCAAGCATACACGCTTCACGACTATCTCCAGGACCTGGTGTTATTGTTTGATCTTTGTGCAGTCTGGACCCATCAACAAAGGTAACGGAGCCGGTTCGGTGTGTACGAGATCCATCGATATGTGTACGTGATCCCGTACGATGTATTCGTGATCCGGAGCGTAGAGTGACGGAACCAGAGCGGTGAACCAACTTTTCGGGTTTGGGGATATGACTTCCATCTGGCATGACAACTGAACCATCCCTGTGTGTGCGCGATCCATCCATATGGGTAATCGAACCGGTTCGATGGACTACAGACCCCGTATTCTCTCGATATGAACCCAGCTTTGGTGGTGTTAGGTTGCTTTGAAGTGGTGGGAGTCTGTTGGCCCATGTGATACACGGATATCGAGTTGCGCTTTTGTGGTAAGCGTACAACTGTGCAAATACTTGAAGCGCGTGCAAACAAATGTCAATAGTTGCAAATAGACCAATCAAACCTGCCAGTTCGGTATATTTATGCTTATAAAGCGCAGTGATACAATCACGTCGATAAACTGGAGCTTCGTAAGTCAGGTGATATTTCGTCACTTCGACACTCGGATTTAACATTGTCTCTGAACAGCTGACTGTTTTCGTTCGATCGCAACAACTTGTTGGAAAGAAACCACTGCTGTAATGTCGGCCCCATGGATCGAACACCGTCTTGTTGGTGTCATAAACCTTCTCAGTTACGAACTCCAATTCAAGCCAATCCATGTACGATGTCCCACCACAGCAAGTGTATTTTCGTTGGATTTCCACCAGTGCGTTGACCACCTTGAGTTTGTATACTGAATATATGGAGAAGAAAACAAAGAGGTTGTGAATATCAACAGCCAGTTCTTGTGTTCGTACCTCACAGGTGAAAATTGTCCTATGACAATCAAGTGTGGATTTTCGCCAGAACGCAAGAATGATGGAAACGACCTGACAGTCCAGAGTTTGTTTCACGCCGTGAGGCGTATCGAGCAGCTTAGTCACCGGAATCCTATCGACCCTGTTTCTTACTTGAATCCCAGATGGGTAAAAAAGAAAATTAAGACTCAATTGAGGGATAGGATGGTGAGGAGCTGAAAACGAAATCAATAAGCCGCCGTTTATACCATTTTTTAGTCGATTGTGTTGCACCACGATCGCTTCAAGGTTCATTTGGACCAATATTGAAGATCTCAAAGTATTTTTTGGATATGCAACTAACTGCAAACACCTCGCTTCGGAAAATTGGAATATTTTAGCTCATGTGAAATCGAACTTTGAAGGCTTACTTTGTTCCAGAGGCTACGAATGTTATGGCTCCAATTCCATGTGCTAGCTACCCAAATTACAGCGAATCACGCAAAGGCCGCAAAGTACTTGAGCTGTTGTGTTGCGCTGGACTGAATTCATCGTTTAACCTGACCAGTTTTCAGCTAGGATCTCATAAATACAGAGGCATTTCAGTTACGTCACAGCGTAGTTATTTAGATGGATAACAGAAACGGATAAACTAGTATTGTGGTGGCGTACGTTGAACGACAAACGGATCTTTGTCCAAGTGATGTTCAGAGTTGTTATTGAAGGAAACCAAAGATTGTTGATGAACAAACGATTCACACTTTAACAACTTAAAGCCGTAGCTATGGCAATACAACTCTGACTATTAGTTGAATGATTTCAGCCGAGTAACCGCCTAGATATGACATAAAAGGGGAAATTTCACAGAATCGATTGACTTGATTTGGAAAAATGTCGCGGACAAACCCTGGATAGCTCCATAATATTTTGTAAGCCATGAAAAAATGATGTAGAGGCTCGAGATGTCGTTAGTAGGGTTAGAATGATGGCTGGTCTATCATCTCGGATGATCGGAGTTACAGTTGTTCTGGGTTTCTTTGATTCTGTTTGAGCCACAAGTTCCAAACTTGTACAGCGTATTACAGAAGAGGCCTAATATATACTTTTAATGGAGTTATGGAAATTGGGAATCGGTACCCCTCAAACACCCTGGCGGGGAATCGTGCTGGTTGCATTTGCAGTGGGAGTCACGATAAGCGGCCAATAATTTATTGTACCGGGGTGAGAGACATGATGTTCTTAATGATATACTGCAACATGTTTTTTGTCATGTTAGATCATAGGCTATAAGACATCGGAGTTTTATATTGTCTGCAAGCAGAAGGGACAAAGATATGACCTTCAAGAATAAGAGAAGGAAAGAGTCCCAGTGGGGAGCATATATTGGCTTTGAATGTTATCCTCTGGGTTGTATGGCCTCCCTTTTAAAGGCTTACAGGTAAAAGCAAATAACGATGCGAACAGTGACAAAATGAAATGCAGGAATGGATGAACTATCACGAAAATTTTTGGTTGAGCTATCGTCCTGTAAGCAGTCAGTCGGTGCGGAAAGTATGAGAAGCAAAATACAGCTGTTCCAGCCTTTTTAGGGCTTCTCAGCACTCAGTATCTCACGAACTTCCATAGAGATTTAGAAGCAGTCTCCCAGCTACCGGGTGAAAACTGGAGCGCTCTAGAAGCTGACCAGCAGTATGATTACTCCGCACATAGGACAAAGTTAAGTAAGCGTGAGCCTTTTATTTGATAAGTTATCACCTACAGGTGGCAGTCAAAGAGAGGACAAGTGATGTGGATCTCCTGATTAAAGGTTGAGTGACCTTATGTTCTGTCGGCAGTCGCGTCCGTCGCGAAGACACTTGACCTTATTGTGGTGTGATGATTTATGTTCATCGGTGACCTATTGAGTCTTACTGAAGGATGCTCACGCAGCATCCATAGTGTATCTCCCACCAGGTTGATCAACAGATGGGGGTTTTATGAACACTGCCACTTGGACCTTCCGATTTGGGAGGGGGTAAGAGTGTGGCAGGTCATTCCTGAAAATTTGAGTTAATCGAGCAATTTCAAGCTTAGCTCCGATGCCCTGGGGTTAGGTTCTTGATCCAGGGGCTTTGGCTAAGAACCCCAGTCATCCTCCGCTCTAGGTCTGTGTGCTCTGGAGGTAACTCAGCCCACAAATTGC